AGATGGTGGTGGTTTTGCTTAGTTATTGTTTCAATTGGTAAAATAACCAAATCGACCCTTTTTTAATCTATTTTCTTTGACACCAGGGGTTAAATGATCCTTTGTTAAAGTTTTAATTTTATTGATTTTCTTGCAATATTTCTCAAGTTGGAGGGTTATTTTTCATTTACCCCATAACGTATGAAAGGGCTACTTCTAAGTTCTTAACCCTATTGTACTTGTTTTGAGCCGCGCCACATCTCTCTTTCACCCAAAATCTTATATCAAATTTCCCTCAAGCATGCTTTTTCGATTCTACTCTTAGAAACGTAAGCTCTCTCTTTTTCATTGTCTAAGATTTGTATGGATCTTGAAGTTCAACGGAATTAAGTAAAGAGATTATGAAACCTAATTGTTCTTCTTGTATTGTAATGCACGGCACCTAGATTTGTTCGGATATGATAGTTACATTTAGATCCGGAATCGAATGATTTAGGTGACAGAACTCAGTTTTCTACTTGTACAGGAATGAAATCTCATTGCTTAAAATGACTCTACTTTTTTTGCTCTGTAATCACTCTGTTTATGTTAATGGTTCATATGGTGATAAGTTTTATCTTTAATTCGTGCAGATCAGATAACAGAAAATGGTGAAGTATAATTTCAAGAAGAGAACTGTTGTACCAAGTGGAAAAGAGTTTGTTGATATCATCCTTTCTCGTACTCAACGCCAGACACCAACTGTTATCCACAGAGGTGACAAGATTACAAATCTCCGTAGCTTCTACATGAGGAAAGTTAAGTACACACAAGCAAACTTTCATGAAAAACTCTCTACCATTACCGATGAGTTTCCTCGCCTCGATGAAATCCATCCTTTCTATGAAGCTCTTCTTCATGTGCTTTACAATAAAGATCACTACAAGCTAGCTCTTGGTCAAGTCAATTCTACTAAGAACATGATTAGCAAAATCGCCAAAGATTATGTTAAGCTAGTAAAGTATGGTGATTCTCTGTACCGGTGCAAGTGCTTAAAAGTTTCTGCTCTTGGTCGTATGTGTACTGCTATGAAGAAAATCGCTCCTTCTTTGGCTTATCTTGAGCAGGTTAGCCAACATTTGGCAAGGCTTCCTTCGATTGATCCAAACGCTCGAACGATCTTGATCTGCGGATGTCCTAATGTCGGAAAGAGTTCTTTTATGAATAAAGTTACAAGACCTGATGTAGATGTTCAGCCTTATGCTTTCACTACAAAATCGCTCTTCCTTGGTCATACTGATTACACGTGTTTGAGGTATCAAGTGATTGATACACCGGGGATTTTGGATAGGCCAATCGAAGATCGTAACATTATTGAAATGTGCAGTATTACCGCGTTGTGTAATCTTCGAGCTGCTGTTTTGTTCTTTCTTGATATCTCTGGTTCTTGTGGTTACACCATTGCTCAACAGGCGGCTCTTTTTCACAGCATAAAGTCTATTTTGAAGAACAAACCGTTGGTAATCGTCTGCAACAAGACGGATTTGATGCCAATGGAGGATCTGTCTGAAGAAGATCGGAAACTGATTGAAGAAATGAAAGCAGACTGCAATGGGAGGAAACAGTGCTTTTGGAGATGAGTACTCTGACCGAAGACGGTGTAATGTCTGTGAAGAATGCTGCTTGTGAGAGGCTTTTAGATCAAAGGGTAGAGGCAAAGATGAAATCCAAAAATATCAATGAAATTTTGAACAGGTTTCATGTGGCGATGCCGAAGCCTCGTGATGACCAAGAAAGGCTCCCTTGCATACCTCAAGCTAATGAAACTGGTGAAAAGGAGAAACGAAAGACCGAAAGATTTGGAAGATGAAAATGGTGGAGCTGGAGTTTATTCTGCTAGTCTAAAGAAGAACTATATCTTGGCTAATGGAAAAATGACATTATACCTGAGATTTGTGATGGTCATAATGTTTCTGACTTTGTTGATCCAGACATATTGAGTAGTTCAAAACGAAGAAGAAGGTATTAAGCAGGCTGAGGATGAAGAAGATGATTTTGAGATAGAAGGCGAAGAACTAACGGAGGAGCAGAAGAACCAGTTGGCCGCTATTCGTAAGAAGAAAGCTTTGGTCATTCAAGAACATAGACTGAAGAAGAGCAATGCACAAAACAGAGCAACTGTTCCAAGAAAGTTTAACAAGGATAAGATGTTTACAAGGGAGAGATTTGGTAGAATGTTATCATCTCTTGGTCTTGATCCTTCTTCCGCTATGAACCGTGCAAGAAGCAAGTCTAGAGGAAGAAAGAGGGAGA